CTGAGGATCTGGACCCTAAAATGTGCATATCTCATATACAGTACTCTATGTATTTCAGGAGGACTCAATTTTCCTAGAAAAGCAAATGTATCTTTAATAAAGGATAACATTTATTATCCAGTTGGCCAGATCCTCATCTGATGTAAATGAACACAACTCTGTTGAAGTCAGTAGAGCTATGGTAATTTACATCAGCTGAATATCTGGCCCAGCATGAACTGCAATACTTTGGGTGCCTCAAAAATTGGACCATCATGTGGCTCTCTGGATTTGCCGCCAAAGCTTCCATGAAAATTTCACTGTGCATAATGGTTTGTGTAATAACACTTTTGTGGTCTATCTGAAAAAGAGACTTACGCAGATTCAGCTTACTGAAGACAACTGTGTCTTCCTCTTTATTAGTGTAATGTCATACTCAATAAACAACAGTGGAAAATGAGAAGGATTGGAAACGTCAGTACTCTTGGAAAGGGACTCATTCACCAGTATATAACTGACATAAAAGTTACCAGTATATAACTCATCACCTTGAAGAGCATTAAGATACTTAGAGAACAAAAGGTGCTAAATAAAAATAAATAAATATTTCTATCCTTTGAAGAATTACTGCCTGTCTTGTCATTTCTCTGCCAAAGTATCCCAACGCCAAGCAAAATAAATTCCAAATGTCTGCTTGAGACTGGGGAAGAAACCAAACAAAATCTGGCACTCAACACATGGACCATATTTCTTTATTAAACAGCCAAATTATTTATTCCATTGTCAGAGGCAACATATAGACAGTCTTGCAGATTTTGTCCTATTTGAGGAGTCTGCCTGTACACCGAACAGGTATAGTAAAGGGTCAGTTTTCCTCACACCACTGCATCAGTGTACTCAAAACATGTTCTGAATGGATCACTGATAGACTAAGGAATTAGTCTCCATGTGAATTCAGTCGTTGGTTTCTCTGTGGCTGAGATTGCAGACAAGGGTGCTAACTGTAGCTGCAACATTGATGAGGTAGACTGAGAACATAAACTCTTTGACACAGACTACTGTACAGCCACCAAATGAAGACTAATGGTCACTGCCAATCTATGATGCTTTCACTAATGTAACATAACTAACCATTTTTTAACTATAGAAGAATATTTCAGTGCTGCTGATAAAATAGGATAGAGAACCTGATAGCTTCCAGTTATTGCCAAGTGCCCATGAAAATGGTTTTGTTTTTAGTCAGTCCTTTTACAGACTGAATCAATTAGGTCCTGATTATAAAGGTACTGGTGTCTGCCTGTGTGAAACAGTTTGCAGGACTGGGGCCTTAATTTCCTTCCTCTGGGGCTGCAAAGGCCCCTCATTCAGCAGGTTACTCCCACACAGGTGGAAAAGATTGGCATAGTGACGTATAGTTCATCACTGGCAGTATTTAGGAGTTAACGGTTTACACCAGGGAGCGGTCTATAAATGATTAATTCAGGATAGAAAGTGAAGAATTGGTTAGTAGGCTCTGGTCCTCAGTGAAAGCAGGCTATTACACTAGGCTATAGTAGTTTTGCTGTGATTTAAGCAAGGCTATTTTGTTTTCGATTGCTTTAAAACTTGTGGGATTAGGGTCTGTTTAAAATTCCTGAAAATATAAACCTGGGGAGAAAATCTGCCTATGGATAATATAAACTAGCTCTGACAGCTTGTGGGCCCATTATTAGTGTCATTATGATTACCTTTCTGCCATGGACTTTTCCACCTTTTAGGTTTTTTATCTTTCTACAGGCTCAGTTTCAAGTAAAGAATAAATGTTTGGAAAGTGTCTACACTGGCCTTTACAAATGAGTTAGCTGACAATGTGGTTTAATTATAACTTAACTTAAGGTAACAAAGTCTAGTGTATTGAAATCCTGAATGGGTACAACAGGTGTCAACCCACCAGCTGGGCTGGAGCTTAGGCTTCATAAAACAGGCAAACAAACAAGGCCCTTTCATTTAATGCAAGCACCTTGTCATCTTGATTCATCTAATTTTTTTTCCTTTTTGTCTTTTCATTCTAATTGCACAGTGTCCTTAACCTCAATATTTTTTCATCAACATTATCAGCTATATTTTGAAGGCAGGTTAGGTCAGTAGTCTAAAGTTTCCTAATACATTTACCCATTTCATTTTTATTTCTGAGGTTTAATAGACAAATGCAGACTACATGAGGTTTTGAAAGGTACACTCTCCAAACACAGGTTAGCTTTGCAGAAGTACCTCACAAATTTCTTCCAGAATCCACTTGTTTTCTTCATGAAGTCCTTTTAAAATGTTGGCATTTGGTGAAAGCCCTGCCTTTTCTCTACCAGAACTTCATTGGCAATGGTTTTGGTTTTAGTGATTTTAGATGGGTGAGATTGCTAGAGGGAAACCCATTACTATTGAGAATCTTTTCATTTTAAATTGCAAAGTTGAAGTTTGGAACAAAAGAAATAAATGTCTTTTTAACCTTATTGAGACGGCACTGTCAAGCAAATGTAACAGATGCAGTGCTGCTCTATTTATCATTTAAGGGGACTGACATTTAGCCAAGTGTCTATCAGTTTTTACTGCTGTTGATAATTGAACTTCAAGTTTTCATAAAAAGTAAGAGAGAGACTAATCTATTTTCAAATGTTTACAAACGCAATAACTAGGACGTCCAGAGAGAGATTTATTGTATTTTTTCTGTTTGCATAGTGAATAATTTTACCATTAGCTCAGTCCTATTTTCATTGTGTTTAGTAGACCATATTTCACCAAGGAATTCTTAATGGCAAATGAATGTATTGTTTCCATTAGTGTAATGGGAAAATAATACAGTACACAGAATAAAGTAGAGAAATTATATTATATACAATTTAAAGGGAAACATATATATATATATATATATATATATATATATATATATATATATATATATATATATAATGAATTAAACAAATTGGAAGGCTTCAAAAATTTCCAATTCATGAGTTTCAAACAGTGATACACACGTGAGATTTTCCATATTGAAAGTTCAATATGGATTATTCTCTTTTGCAAGTACCAAACCAAATAGCCACAGGTTGGTGGACAGTCCACCATATTCAGCGGTACCTGAATTTTTGTGCTGGTTCCAACAACCTCTTTACTTCCTGCTTTATTCTGTGGGAGAATAAAAAGTAAATAAAGCTGAAAGAAAACTAAACTCTGCCACAGCTACAAGTATTTTTTTTCAATAAAAGAAAAATCAATGAAACTATGAATTTGAGATTTTAAAAAAGGGAGCCTTGCCAGACAGCGAGAGTGTGCCAAGACTTTCTGTAACTGTGTCAATTGAGAAAAGGAAGCTATTGCATTTGACAGCATTTAATATATAGCAGCTTTAAAATCCTTTTTTGGACAGATTTGTAACAAGATGTTCAGAGATTTAAATGTAGTTTAAAAGCTATACATTAAATTGGCAAATAAAAATAAGGATAATTAAATCTGGAAACAATAACTAACACTCTCCTTTTATTTTGTGTTCCATTTTTGATTCTATTTCGAAGATTATTTCCTTTTGAGACGAAGTAAACTATTGGTTAGTGTCATTTCTGAGAGTCAGGATATCCAATTTGTTGTGGAATCAAAAAATAAATAACTTTATGAATGTAGAAGTTATCTGGTGAAGCCAGCATACAGATGTAATTTAGCAGAATTCATACACATTTGCCATATAGATACATCTTGGATATGTTTCTGTCATAATAGATCATTCCACTCAGTGGTTAATCCATCAGAAGAAATTCTATCTTTCCACTGAATATATGCTTTTGTATTTAACCCACATAATACAGTACAGTAATACTGATATGATAATTAATTACATTCATATGCTTTTATGCTTTCCATTTCATACCGAAATGCCATCTCCAATTTTGCCACGGCAACAACAACACTTTTACTTAAATCTCCACACAAAAAAAAGAGTTGGCTACTTACATGAATTAATTTTTTGTTGAAGGACAACTGCATTTCAATATGTTTCTATAACCATAAAAGTATGGTTGAGAAGTATGGACAGAATTCTACATTACCTTGTCTCAAAAAACAATTTCATGGCAATAAGATTATTTTTACTTAAAGCTATTTGCCAAGGAAGCCTTTATCAGTGAACATATATGTGATTTACATATTGTTGGGAAAAAAGGCAAGACAAATAAATGTCAAGCCCTCTAAGATACATCACTCTACTTCCTCCAAAAGGTTCTTTGATGACTTCTCAGAAGTTAAACATTTTTTCTTTGTTGACCTTCTCTTTGGCCATTCAAAGTATAGGGTATAATGGAAGTGATTTAACATGATCATGTTCTTTTTGCAAACTATTCTTTGGATATTGCAGTCTGTGATGGTGAAAACCTGCTCCTTATACCATTATTTGTGATCTCCTTCTTTTTTTAAGGTGTGTTTGTGGTAACATCAAATGCAGGTACAAATAATATGAATTTATATGGGCAAGAAGTAGTTGTTAGACCATGTCTACTGAATCAGTAAATTAAAACAGAGTAGAATGCACACTGTGAGAGCAGTAGTGCAGTATCTTATATTACAGTTTCTGGAGAGTAGTGTATTTATTGGCGATATCTGTCAATGGCAAGTGATGTGCATGAATCTTTTGATATCCAATGTTTACAGGACTATCCATATTTTGTACTAATTGTTCTGGGACTCTTATGTTATTTGTATAACGAACAAAAAACCCCAAGCATTTGTTTTTGGGCCAGCCTGGTAACCCCTGGTCATTAGCACTGTCTGTACTTCCAAGCAAAATACCCAGGTATGATTTCTCAGCACAGTCTCTTTCTCACCAAGCTGAAAGCAGCTAGGTAAGAGTGAATCTGAGGGAAGAGAGGATCTCACATTGTTCTACAGAATCTCTGTGACCACAATGGGAGAAGTAGTGATGAGCTCTGAAGGGTTTCTCATCCAATCCTTCTACCCTGAGAAGCTTGCACTGTGAAGAGTCTTGAAGAGTGCATGGTGGTGTGGGAGATGTTAACTATGAAGGACGGTAAAAAAATGGGAAAATAGGACAAGTTAGTAATATAAAGGATCACCTGAAAATCTATGTTTTTATGCATTCCCATTTATATAGAGCTTTCCTTACTTTTAATGAACCTGACATTTTGCTGTGATTTTAAGAAAAGGATGTACTCAGACAGAAATTTACTGCTATGACTCGATGTTGCTTCACATTCTCTGTCTCATAGGTTCTCAATAGATCTGAGACCAAATGCCATTGTCTGAAAAGGTAGTAAGAAATAAATCAAAATAATGATGCCAATATTTGCACTTACTGAGACAAGTTGATTTAACACTATCACATTTTCCTCTGACTTGCATTTTACTGCAAACTTCTTTAGTGTGAAGGTTTCTGAAGGGAGCTCTGAAGGGTTTCTCAACCAATCCTTCTACCCTGAGAAGCTTGCACTGTGAAGAGTCTTGAAGAGTGCATGGTGGTGTGGGAGATGTTAACTATGAAGGACGGTAAAAAAATGGGAAAATAGGACAAGTTAGTAATATAAAGGATCACCTGAAAATCTATGTTTTTATGCATTCCCATTTATATAGAGCTTTCCTTACTTTTAATGAACCTGACATTTTGCTGTGATTTTAAGAAAAGGATGTACTCAGACAGAAATTTACTGCTATGACTCGATGTTGCTTCACATTCTCTGTCTCATAGGTTCTCAATAGATCTGAGACCAAATGCCATTGTCTGAAAAGGTAGTAAGAAATAAATCAAAATGATGATGCCAATATTTGCACTTACTAAGACAAGTTGATTTAACACTATCACATTTTCCTCTGACTTGCATTTTACTGCAAACTTCTTTAGTGTGAAGAGGCTATGAAATTGTTGCAGTATCATCCAAAATGGACATTGTGACAGATGGCAATAAAAAACACAATGGGCTTTATTATGTTTTATTTTATTAGACTCAGGTTATTGTTACAGTTATGATCTTAAACTCTGTTTTATTTTTATAGCTATGATAGTTCTTAACGTTGTCTTTGCATAGCCAGCTGCCTTTACAGAATCCAATGTCCTTGACGGTTTAAGGCAGCTAAACCACAGAGTAAATAATATGTTTATTGCCCAAAACTGATTGCTGAAAAATCAGAAAAGGAAATAAACTGATGATTCTAAAATATCAGGAAACAACTCCTGCAGAAAAACTGACAACAAGAATGAAGGAGAACTTTGAAAAGCCTGTTCAAGCAATAAATTTCTTTAAGTTAGGGATCAGCAATGGGGGAAGTTTGTGGAGCAGCAAATATGGGATTTTGTGTGTGTTTTCTACAGAAGCATGGCAACTACAATTTGGAGATAATTTAATTAAAATAATCTTATTGCTTCCTTGATTCTGAATATAAGACAAAGAACACATGCTAATAAAGGCAATCAAGTCAAGAGAGAGACAAACTATTAATTAACTTTCTAAGGTGGATAGAAAGCTGGCTAGATTGTCAGGCTCAATGGGTTGTGATCAATGGTTCAATGTCTAGTTGGCAGCTGGTATCAAGCGGAGTGCCCCAGGGGTCGGTCCTGGGGCTGGTTTTGTTCAACATCTTCATTAGTGATCTCGATGATGGGATGGATTGCACCCTCAGCATGTTTGTGGATGACAGTAAGATGGACGGAGAGGTGGATATGCTGGAAGGTAGGGATAGGGTCCAGAGTGACCTAGACAAATTGGAGGACTGAGCCAAAAGAAATCTGGTGAGGTTCAACAAGGACAAGTACAGAGTCCTGCACTCAGGATGGAAGAATCCCATGCACTGCTATAGGCTGGGGACCGACTGGCTAAGTGGCAGTTCTGCAGAAAAAGACCTGGGGATCACAGTGGATGAGAAGCTGGATATGAGTCTGCTGTGTGTCCTTGTTGCCAAGAAGGCTAATGGCATATTGGGCTGCATTAGTAGGAGCATTGCCAGCAGATCGAGGGAAGTGATTATTCCCCTCAATTTAGAATCATAGAATATCAGGGTTGGAAGGGACCTCAGGAGGTCATCTAGTCCAACCCCCTGCTCAAAGCAGGACCAATCCCCAACTAAATCATCCCAGCCAGGGCTTTGTCAAGCCTGATCTTTGGCACTGGTGAAGCCACAACTAGAGTATTGCATCCAGTTTTGGGCCCCCCACTACAGAAAAGATGTGGACAAATTGGAGACAGTCCAGTGGAGGGCAATGAAAATTATCAGGGGCCTGGGGCACATGACTTACAAGGAGAGGCTGAGGGAACTGGGCTTGTTTAGTCTGCAGAAGAGGATAGTGAGGGGGGATTTTGATAGCAGCCTTCAACTACCTGAAGGGGGGTTCCAAAGAGGATGGAGCTCGGCTGTTCTCAGTGGTGGCAGATGACAGAACAAGAAGCAGTGGTCTCAGGTTGCAGTGGGGGAGGTCTATGTTGGATATTAGGAAACACTATTTCACTAGGAGGGTGGTAAAGCACTGAAATGGGTTACCTAGGGAGGTGGTGGAATCTCCATCCTTAGAGGTTTTTAAGGCCTGGCTTGACAAAGCCCTGTCTGGGATGATTTAGTTGGGGTTGGTCCTGCTTTTAGCAGCAGATTGGACTGGATGACCTCCTAAGGTCTCCTCAAACCCTAATCTTCTATGATTCTGTGAATTGTTTCCTTTCCATAGAAAAAATATCTATTACTATTGTTAAAGTTTGATAAGAATCCTGGCCTTCGTCACAAAGTGCATCTCTGTTTTAAGCCATTAATATGGAAGCAAATACTTTCCTTAGGACTGACAACAGCATAATTCCTCTATAGTTGCTACATTTGGCTTTATCAATCTTTTTGCAAAGAGGCAGAAGAATACCATTTTTCTGGTCATTGAAGGTGATATTAGTGCACCTGATGGTCTGGAAGAGCCTATGGTACAACAATATCTCACCTATCTTTAGCAACACACTGACTCAGGCTCACTGAGCTTGGGCTGCGGGGCTAAAAAGTGCTGTGTAGACATTCAGGCTTGGGGTGGATCTTGTGCTCTGGGACGCTGCAAGGGGGGCTCCAGCCCAAGCTTGAACATCTACACAGCAATTTTTAGTCCACAGCCCAAGCCTGGCAAGCCAAAATCAGCTGATCTGGGACAGCTGCAGCCAAGCTGAGGGTCTTTGTACCCTAATAGTCCAGTAAACCTTTGAAATGCATTCTTTTCAAGTGTATCTCCAGATAAAGTTCTCTTACCCTGCTGTTTGGGTCCCAGTGAGCTGATGCCATGCTGTCTTCCTCACCCTTCTCTCAATTTGCTTGTCCTGTTGACTCAGATGCAAATATAACTTCCTTTGTTTCTGGCAGACAGGTAAAAAAGAGCTCTGTGTAAGCTCAAAGCTTGTCTCTTTCACCAACTGACATTGGTCCAACAAAAGATATTACCTCACCCACCTTGGCTTGGGTATATCAACATTCCTTTGTCTAGGACAAACTTGTTTATTACGTCTTCTGCCAAAACATATTTTAGGAACATATTTCCAGCACACCATTCATCCATATATCACACAATGATATTATTGATTGGTGTGTCACCAGCTTTCATTTGATACTACACACAACACTCTTTACAGATAAATGTTATAAAAGTAATGAACTAGTTGAGTCAGACCTGATAGGAGTTTACAGATCCATGGGCCCTCTGCCAGTTGGCATTGAGGAGCTCCTATGGTCACAGTTCTGAAGTCAAACCCATTTAGCTTTTGCTTTTGTTCTCAACAAACCTGTCTTGCAAAACTCAGATTGGGTTCTTACTTTTTTTTTTAGCCCCAAGTGCAGTGAGCATCTCCACACGATCCAGGGACAAAGTTTGAAGGGCTGAGACCCCAGCACCAACATGACAGCGGTCAGCACTGACGTCTTAAAACAACGCCATTCCTCATCAGATCCCAGACGAAGTGAGGCTTCAGGCTCGAATGCTTTAGTGGCATTGAGCAGTTCAGAACAGAAAGCCATCTGACAGCTCAGTTCTAATAAGAGTTTGAGATTGAATTGGACTGTTTATGGCCTGCTAACTGGCCAAAGGTAGATTTACTTTTGTCAGCAGAAGACAGTGGTCGGTGTCAAGCTCAACACCTCTGTAAACTTGTACATCAATGACTGTTCACTGCCAACAAATGTTAACAAGAACATAACTGGAAACAGTCCTATTGAAATTGTTGCGGCTGTACCCCGTCTATTTGTGAATCTTCAGATGATGGATGATGTCATTGGCAGTCGCAAATTCTAGCAGTCGCTGGTTGTTCCTGTTCTTGTGCCTGTCACCAACCTCCCTGGGTGTGCTTGCTCAAGCGTTGTTACCCTTTCCTCCCTGCATACTAAGGATTATGTTCAGTTGCTGGTAAAAACTATCTGCAGCTGCATCACTGGCCTTGGTGTTGGTGGGACCATACACAGCAATGATGGTAGGATGTCCACAGTGGGTACAGAATCAGATACTGAATGTCAGACAAACCTGCAGCCAGACCAGGACTGCTCACTCAGCTACAATGACTTACCCCTCCAGCACAGTCTGCATTGACTCATCCCTCAGGTGCATGTTGCAGCAGCCTATCCCTGGACAGGGTCCGGGTCAGATGATCCATAGGCACAGGTATTTCAACCTCACAGCCAGAGCTGCAAGGTAGTCTGTGCAACAGCACCACTTGGCTAGGAACCCTCCTGCTCTCTCGTGGTGTTACAGTCCCTAGGCTTTCAGCCTTTCCTGGATCCCATGCCTGTTCCTGCCCTAGCCTTGCCTGAACCTTGTTTTCGCCCAGTTCAGGCTTGTCTATGCCATATTCTGAACCTGCTCCAGCCCTGCACCTGCCTTCTGACCCCCAGACATTTGGGATTACTCCATCCTGGCTTTGACCTTGGGCCTGGTTTTGGACTCTGACTACAATTCTGATTTGGCTTGTCAATGGACTCTGATCCTGGTTCTGACCACAGCCTGTCCCCGGACCCCAGTTTCAGCGCTGCCCTTGACCAGATCCCAACTCTGCATCTGGCCTCGACTTCTGGCACCTGTTCTTGACCACCACTCCAACCACCAGACCTAACTGCCTAGAACCCAGCACCTGATGCACCCACCCTGCAATGTCTTTTGGGCATTGGGTAAAAGTACAACAGACACCCCTTGCTGGAGCAACATAATGGGGTAGTCTTAGAACAAGTATGTGTAATTCTCAACTTTCTTTTCACCACTTCCTAGCCAGAGCACTTCAGATAAGGGGCACATATCAATGTTCAGTCTTGTCAACTGCCTGGTGAAGAGAATATATTTGGTCACTTTGGACAATGTTTGGACATTCCAGGCACCAATTTTACCTTTGTCATCAACACACAGGACATGGAGAAGGCCCTTTCACAAGGTTTCAGTCGTAATTTTCACCTCAGCAGCCAAGAAAAGTTCTTAATAATTTGGGTTTCAAGGACAATTCACCAGATTGTCACAGTTAATCAGCTTCAGTAGAAACACCCTCATGATGTGCAGGTGCTGATTCCAGTGCAGCTTTACATATGGTCATTCGATTATTGACTAGATCTTTACCTTGAGACACCTTTTGTAGAAGAAGGGTGGATGTAATGAGCCATGTCCCACACTTTTTATAGATTTGATCCATTGTATCAAGATAGGTAGCATCTGAGGATGCAGCTCAGCATCCCTGGGGAGACAGTCTTGTTGACAGAAGAACACTGTAATGAAATGGACAGTTACATTTGAGTTAATGACAGATACATGTTACACTTTCCTATTTCCATGGAAGTTCAGCATCCTGTCACCATTGTTCATTACTGGCATTGATTGGTTGATGGAAAAGCTTGAGGAGTCAGGTGTTGTTGGTATTGAGCAGAACACTATTTTGCTTCAAGACCTTGATGTTGATGAATTGGAGAGGGTTCAGAGACAAGCCACCAGAATGATTAAAGGAATAGAAAACATGGCTTATAGTGAATGACTCAGGGAGTTCAATTTATTTAGTTTAACAATGATAAGGTTAAGGATGATTTGATTGCAGACTGTAGATACCGACCTGGGGAACAAACATTTTAAAAGGGCTCTTCAAGCTAGCAGCAAAGGTATAACATGATCTGATGGCTGGAAGCTGAAGCTAGACTGATTCAGACTGTAAATAAGGTGTAATTTTTTTGACAGTCATTAGCCATTGGAACAAATTACCACAGATTGCTGTGGATTCTCAATCACTGACTATTTATAAATCAAGATTGGATGTTTTTCTAAAAGATATACTCTAGGAATTATTTTGGAGATGTTCTATGGTCACTGTTATACAAGAAGTCAGACTAGATAATCAGAATGGTCTGTTCTAACTTTGGGATCTATGAATCTATGAACCTTGAATACATGGAGGACATTGCCTTGTTGGCTCAGTTTGGTGTATCGCTGCAGCTTATGGCTGTTGTGATTGGACAAGAAGCAGTGCATTTTGGTCTGGTTATTAATCCAGTTAAAATGAGGTCACTTGCTATTACCATTAAGCAGCCTCTGACTCTACATTACAACCAGCTCAGTTTTAATCTGTACAGATGGGATATCAAATAGGTGGCAACTGTCAAATACTGGGGAAGCATCATAGACAGTGCTGGAGGATGCTCTAAAGATGTAGATTCTTGTATAGCAACAGAGGCCACCAAGTTCTGGGTCCTTTAGGTGCCTCTGTGGAGATGTTATGACATCAAACTTACCATGAAGCTGTGGCTCTATAGAGTCATGATTACACCAACTTCATTGTATGAAAGTGAATTTGATGAACACTAGATGGATGTTTTTGATTCTCTGTCTTTGTCAGCTGCTCCATCCTAAATGGCAGTACAAGATCAGCAATGAGGGTGTTCATATCTGAACCTAGCAACTACCTCCATCAGCACAGGTTTGGTTCTGGTGGCTTTCTTAGTGCGGGCATGTTATTCGGATGGAAGACCAGTAAATTATGAAGCAGATTTACCAAGGAATGTTGCTAAACAGTCAGTGATTGTGTGGTTGCCAAAATCTTCAGTGGCATAATAGGATCATGAGTGATGGGTATAAACTGAACATTCAGCCACCATTTTAAGGACCTAGCTAGAGATTGATCTGGGTGATGCCTGATCTGCAAGGAGATTTGGGATCCTTTTGAGATATGCCATAATGATGATGACGAATGTCTGATGACATCATAACACTGCACAATATATTACATCATAAATCTACTTGCAATCTCTAAATCTTGTAGACTGGGCTCTTAGATATCTCTAAGAAACAACTCTGTAGATACTGCAAAAAGTGGTTTAATAAAACTCTATTAAACTCTTTCCTTTGATTCAATTTTAACCCTGTGTCCCATCATGATATTAAGTGGCACTGTGTTGTTGGTACCATCTTGTCAGTGTCCTGATTATATGAGATTATAAAATATCCCACAGTAAGAGTGCATAATCACCAGATCACAATGAAATACAAAACTTTTCATCTCTGTGTTGGTGGTTCAAATCCAGCCCAAACCAATAAGGATTTAAAGTTGTTATTTTAGATTTTCTGTGGTTAGAGCAGGTCAGATTATTTTCCCCACAAAAATGGTGACTTCTATAAAAAAAACTGTAAATAAGAAAGGGCTGGGAGTACTAACAATGGGGACTAACAGGCATTCTTGGTGGCATTCTCAGAAGAACTGTCAAGGACTGAATGGGAATAGAGACTGAGCTTCACTCACATGGACAGAAATGGCCCTAGCAGGTCACAACTTTACACATAGACTAGGAGGTAGAGGGAGATTGATTGTTACTGCTCAGACCATACCTGTTCTTTGTATTTAGTGCACTTCCATGGACACTATTATAAGCACTAAATTCATTAGGACAAACACCTATTCTATAGATGTGTATCTACTAGTGAAATAGTGCCACCAATAACACACAAAGATTTTCTGTCACTCTGTGGAAGCATAGGAGTATCAGTCACAGTGTTCTTATTAAATTCCAATTGTGTAATTGTGTGCTGCCTGATAAAAATTCCACACATAGTTTTATTTTTGATAAGGTAGTTTACAAGTCCATTACCAAACTGTTGAATAGTGTTGCTGAGTGCTGTTAAACAGTTGCCACTTCCCATCTCAGAGAGGGATGCGTTTCAATGTTGGGTGAAATAATTCTTATAAAGAGACAATTTTGCACTTGAAAGAACATGTAACTCCCAATGATTTCTCAATGGGAGCAGTGTGTATGCATCAGAGGTCAGACTGTGGCTTGTAAAGTTTGTAAAGGACTTCAATAACAGAATAAAACATGCTATATAACAAACTATTAGACACAGATCCG